ATACAGTATCGGGAAATGAAATATCGCGATATTTCAGTGTATCGATATTTTCTTACACCCCTAATAAAAATAATATTTCTTATTTATAAACCAACTAAACATCCATCCGCTGACTGAGTTCTTCCTGTTGTTTTTAAGGCTCAGAGAAATCTTTGAGGAAGAGCTTCGACCTGTTCGACGAGTACTTAGACGTGCGGATCCACAACAAGTTCTTCCGACGGATCGGCGTCAGCGACAACCACATTCGGATCGCGGAGAACGGCGCCCCCGCCGACAAAGTGTACGAACTGCTGAAGAACTGGATGCAGAGGCAGGGGCTGAAGGCCGACATCAACGACCTGCTGGAGGCTCTGCTCAGCATGGACCAGCGCCGCTCGGCCGAGTGCATCGCCTCCGAGGCGCTCCGGAAGGGCTACTACAAACAAACGGACACGCCCTGACGGCTGCACATGAAGTAAACACAAAGTACTCGCAAATAAAAGCACAAAAACCCGCTGTCGGCAGACGGGCTGACCTCTTCGTGGCCCTGCAGCCACGCATTTAAAAGCCAGTAGTTGTTTAAAAGAAGAAAAACACACACACATAAAAAAAAGGGGGAAAGTGGAGCCGGACTGATGCGTGATTTGATGATGTTGACCTGTTTTATAAAAACACAGCCGTAGGTTTGTGTTGGATCTGAACGTTATCATGGACGAGCTAAACGACGAGCTAAACACTGAAAGCACCGAAGTCTCCGGCTGGGAGTGGCTCAGCTCCAGCCTGGTCATCAGGAAGGAGACGGGGATTTTACACTGGTTTGTTGGAGTGGCGTTGATGATGATGATGATGATGATGATGATGATGATGCTCCTCCTGTGCCTCTTCGATGCACTGACCTCTGGCACATGTAGGATTCAAAATGTTTCAGCTCTTCATCCCAGAAACATTGGTTTATGTCTAGTTTCCTGACTGATTCTCGAAGAATGTGGATAAATATTAACATCAGTTCTTACTATTAACAGTTACACTTCTGCGTCTGTTTAAAAGTTCACTTTTTTTCTGAAACCTCGTTACGTTCTTTAAGACAAGTGGTTAAAAATAGTTGTAGTTTTTATAAAAGTCTAGTTGCAGCAGTATTGTTTTCACTCTTTTGGGCTTTTATGTGTTCAGTGTTATCACTCGCAAACCTAGAAGGATTTTTAGTTTCTGTTGATTATAGTTGAAGGGTTTTTTTGTCACTTGGATAAGGTCAAAGGTCATTTTATTTATTGACATATTTATTGAAATGAATGATAGTCGTCATTATTTATGCCTTTGCCAAAACGACCCTCAGAAAACACACACACACACGTTGTTTGTGTGGTGTTTTTGCTACAGGGTGAAACGACTGAGATCCAAGCTTTTCAAGTTGTAGCTGCAGCGTTTTGTTCTGCTCGCTGCACTCGTGTGCCGTTCACTGACCCCTCATTCAGGACAGCGACGAAGCTTTAATGATGCCTAATGCAGATTGTATCTTCTGAAATTTGAAGTTTAATTGTTTTTCTTTTTGTTTTTTTGTGTTTTTTACTGAATCGACCGACAAAAAGAAAGAAATCGACATGTCTAGGCGACATGGCTGCAGGTACGGATTGCCAAGATGAAGGAAAACTTTTCTGGATGTAAAAGGAGAAATCAAAAATCTGTCCCATATGTCCCATTCAGTGACATCACTTCACACACTTCAGACTCGTACCTCAAAAGTATTTTTCTGGGATTTAGGTGACAGACCAACAGAGGAGTGCCTGATTGTGGCATGGAATAAAAATGTTGCAAGTAAAAGTCTGAGAAGTGGAGTTAATTTAAAACCATGTGACCTGTCTGGTGTGTTCCTTGGTCTTCATGTTGCTGTTTGTTTACTGCTGTTGTGTAACAAACACATTGAATTATTCTGAGATTAAATTACACACAAATCTAATTTACTAACTCAGTGACTTCATCAGAGAGGTGCCAAACTAAACAGGGCTTATTACAAATGCAAAACCACACGTTAAAGGATTTTTTTTATGTTTAAGAAAAAAACTATCATTCCCCTTTTACTTTGCAATTATGTGCTACTTTTTGTTGGTCTGTTGTTTAAAATTAGAGTAAAATACTTTGACGTTTGTAGTAACAAAAGGTGGAAAAGTTCAGAAAAATGTTCATTTTCAGAGTTTCTGTCCACAGAGTGTTTGTTTTCAGGTGTAACAACAAAACAAAACTTATGAGTTATGAAAGTTGATATTAAATGAGATCTAAAGGTTTATTTTTTTCCACCCGTTTATTTTCTTTTGTAAAAGGAACAAAGTTTTATATAATTGCTGAGTGATGCTACAGTGCTGGCACTGCCATCTGCTGACAGAGTGTGGAACTACAGCCTGTCTCTTTTTGTCCTCAGTTGTCCCTTCTTTGTCTTTGTCCAGTTTTACTTCAGCCCTGAAGTAGCATGTCCTGTTTATTCTGAGAGATCTATTGTGTGTGTGTGTGTGTGTGTGTGTGTGTGTGTGTGTGTG